CTGCTTAGCTCAGAATTGTATGCAGGGATACTAGCTGGTATTAGAATAATATCCATAAATAAATGTGACATTTGGGGTTTGTTTGTTTTGGTACCAGGAATCGAACTCAAGACCTCTTACTGGCCAGGCAGACACTGTGCCTGCTGAGCTAAATCCTTCACCCAGACATTTGGTTTTTATAAATGCATTATTCTGAACTTTTTTTTTTTTTCTGGTGGCCCTAGGGATTAAACCTAGGGTCTCCCACATGCTAGACAAACACTCTTCCATTGAGCTACATCCCTATCCCCCTTCTTTTTAAAATTTGAGGCAGATTTTACGAGTTGCCCAGACTCAGCTTGCAATTCTCCTACCACAGCCTCTCAGGTAGCTAGGATTATGGGTGTGCATCACCACATACTGCCCATGATAAATTTTTGTTGTCTATGAAATATAGTCTAAAGGTCTATATTTTTTTTGCTGTAGTATATATATTTTAATTGAAAGTGAATCAACAGTAATACACCATAAATTCTTATTTTGACACTCAACAATATAGTAACCTGGAAAAACCATTTTTTTGTGACAAAGTAGAGAAAGCTTGGTCACATTTAAATTACTGAGAACTAGAGAGAAATTCTGTTGCAAACTGTAATAGATATTACATCCATAAATATTTTCCCAGTCTTTATTGTAATATTGCACAGAGCAATTGCTACATGACAAACTAGTGTAGCATAGAAGTAAAAGCAAAACAAATTTTTTAAAAAGCCGCAAGTCTAAAATTGTTAAATGGTTAACAGTTCAAACTTAGTAATCAAGTCTATATCCTTGAGTTAATGAAAACAAATGTTCCTACACCTTGCAGTATACGATTAACTCTAAAGATGTGTTTTTGAAGACAAAAGTTAGAACTATGTCCTGAAGAGATTCAACCAGACATGGTGTTACATGAAGAATTGCAAGTTGAAGCCTAGTCTGCACAATTTAGTGGCTCAACAAGACCTTTTCTCAAAAGACAAAGGCTAGAGATGTAACTCATGAAGGTCCTGAGTTCAGTGCCCAGTACCAAAAAAATTTTTTTCATCCAGGATTCTGAAGAGAATGTTCACATTTATCAGGTACCTACCTAGGATGCATGAACCCTAAGGTTTGGTCCTCAGCACTTTAAAACAAAAAAGTAACACTTAATGAATTTTGTTGTGGGTTTTTTGTTTTTGAGACACTGAGAGCTAAACCTATAGCCTGCTTACTAAGCCATATCCCCTAGCTTTTTTAAATGTTTAATTTTGATATAGGGTCTTGCTCTATATCAAACTGACTGGATTCAAACTTATGATCCCTTCAAGTACTGGGATGGCAGGCATGTGCCACCACACCTGACTAGGCTTCTTCCTTTCTTAAAACTTTAATTAGGGAAAATTAAATAGTTGAAGTCTAAGCAAAAGAAACATTTCTCTTTTGCTTGCAACAAAACTAAATAAAAAACCAGGCATGCTGGTGCAAGCCTGTAATCCCAGCACTTGGGAGGCTGAAGGCAGACAGATCACTGCAAGTTGTGGGCCAGCCTGGGCTACATAGCAAGGCCTTGTCCCAAAAAACTGAAAACTAAATAAAAAATGCTTTCAGAATTAAATTATGTCTTGAGCAGTATAGTTGATGAGTTGTTTTCTAAAATTATATTTAGAAGCTGGGAATCTAACTCAGTGGTAGTGTACTTATCTGGCATATAGGAGGCCTTCAGTTCAATTCACAACACACACCACAGTCATAAAAATATATACCCCCTAAGTTTAGATAAGTCCACAAAACTAAACTATCTTTGGGCGGGGTTTTATTTCTCACATATTAATTGTAATGAGAAATCTTGTAATTCTGCTAATTTTTGTTTGTTTTTGGTAACGAGGATTGAACTTGGGACCTTGTGCTTTCTAGCCAGGTAGGTGGCAGAACCACTGAGCTAAATTCCAGGCCCTGTGCTATTTATTGAGCCTAGTTTATCATTAGGTTGGTTCGCGGAGAAATTTTTATTCCAGATTGCATGTTCTGTGCATGAATGTATACTTTGTTGTGTTCAGAATGGATCAACGTGCTATTTTTTTACAAATGGAATAATTCTAAACTAGGAAAAATTTTGGATGGGAGGATGTAGCTCAGTGGTAGAGTGCTTGCCTAACCTGTGCAAAGTTCTGGGTGCAGTACCTAATATTACTAAAAAATAAACCAGGAAAGAAACATTCTCTCTTTTTTTGTACTGGGGATTGAACTCAGGCCCTTGTGCTTGTGAGGCAGGCAGCAACACCACTGAGCTAAATCCCCAGCCCAGAAACATTCTCTTTAATATAGTAAGTTTATTTAGATATACTCAAGAATTGCCAGCATGTCATCCTGAAAAACGAATGCATTCTTTTTGTTGTTTGTTCAGTTTGCTTTTAATTGCAAAATAAATGATATAAAAATAAGACAGTTGGTGGCAATTTAGTAATGAATATAGATAGTTAGTGATATTGTATTACGAGAGGCTTTGGGAGCAGTTAGAGGGGGACATAGGCGTCTTGCTGATGACAAAAGCTATTTTTAATAGAGTTGAAAATATTCTATACCATAGTGTTCTGTTTTTCATTCTTTGTCCCACCCTCTGCACCCCCTTTTTAGTACTGGGATGAAACCCAGGGCCTTGGGCTTCCTAGGCAAGTTCTCTGTCAGAGCCCTATTTCTTGAGACTTCACCATTGCCTGATTTGGTTAGAAACATAGAATCTCAGGTCCTTCCTCAGCCCAACCCATTGAGAATCTCCTTCTAAACAAGACTTTTGAAGTGGCTTCATATGGATGCTTATTGGATTAGCACTTTCCCTATATTTAATACCACAGGTATTAAGGTAATATGTATTGTGTTCTTGAGAATACAATAATATTATTAATGTATTAATACAGAATACATTTAAACCTAGGAAATGTATGTGTATCCTTCATAACCACCTCTATTAAGGCCTATGAATAGTGTTTTAGAAGGCTGGGCAGTAATTGTAGAAAAAGTGTTAACATCTAAAACATCTTGAAAGGAAGTGTACCAATGTCTTCAGTCTTCTTGAAACATACAAGAGTAATGAATTGATTGTTGAGACAGTAATAGATGGGAAGATGTGACGAAGCAGAATCAGGTAAAATAGTGTTAAATCTAGTTGGTGAGTATATGGTTTTAGGTATAAAAAATTTTTAAACTTCTGTGTAAGCTTTTAGTTTTTCATAATGTTGATTATAAAAATGGCTATCTATGTAAAATACCAGGCACATTTCTCAAAGTTCCTGGATAGCCAAGTTTTCAGTGTAGTTATCTATGTTTTTCATATCCTCTGCTTTATTCTATAGATATAGTTATTTAAAAAAAAAGGTATCTCATAGATTTTGAGTGTGCTTTGTGTGCTGCACAGTACCTCACTACTGTATATATTATTTATTTCTTACTCAGTGATGAGTTAGATTTAAATGCTAAGAAAGCCAAAACGGGCTTGGGATTTAGCTCAGTGGTTCCACTGCCTGCCTCACAAGCGCAAGGACCCAAGTTCAATCCCTGGTACCAAAAAAAAAAAGAAAACCAAAACAGAACAGGCTGAGAATGTAGTCCAGTGGCAGATGTTTACCTAGCATACGCAAGGCCCTAAATTCAGACTCCTGCATTAAAAAAAAAAAAAAAAAAAAGAATGTAGTCCAGTGGCAGATGTTTACCTAGCATACGCAAGGCCCTAAATTCAGACTCCTGCATTAATAAAAAAAAAAAAAAGACAGTTTAAAATACATGCATAATCTAGTAAGTTTAATAGATACTGGGCATGGTGGTGCATGCCTGTGATCCCAGCACTCGGGAGCCTGAGGCAGGAGGATCTCTGTGAGTTCAAGACCAGCCTGGGCTGCATAGTTCCAGGTCAGTCTCAAATACATAGTGACACCCTGTATCAAAAAAGAGAGAGACACACACACATTTTCAGTTTTGGGAGGGGTGTTTTGTTTTCTTTTGGCGGATGCCAGTGAATCCAGGGATCACCCAAAATCTAGGTCTGGGACGTGCTGGCAAAGCAGGGTACTACAGAACCTCATCCCTAGGCCAGGAGACATTTTGTAAATAGGAACTCTGACTTTATAGCTGATGGCTACCACATTACACAGTTACAGGATCAGCATTTGTTTTATTGTTTTTTGCACAATGTAGTATCCTTTCCTTGGAATACAAAGTGTATAGTTCTAGATTATTCATTAAGACTGTTTAGCTTAGGGCTGGGGATTTAGCTCAGTGGTTCTACCGCCTGCCTCAGAAGCACAAGGTCCTGAGTTCCATCCCCAGTACCACAAAAAATTTTTTAAAAAAAGACTGCTTAGCTTTAACCACATGCAGTGAATATTTAAAGAATTTGTATTAGTGAACGATACCTTGTCATTAATCCCCCTTAAAATAATCCACCTTACTTCAGACACGCTTATCCCATTGTTCTTACCACTTTCTGAAGCAATTCTGGAAGTCTTCTTTTCTGAGCTTCTTTAGTTACACCATTGTGGCTGCTTCAGGGTCCTTAACTGATTCAAAAATTTTTACCTTTCATGGTGATTTTGACTTTGGGGAAGAGCCAGAAGTTTCATGTGCCAGATACAGTGAATAAGGTGGTTGAAGAAACAGTGTAATGTTTTCACAAGCTTTCCTTTCTGTTGGGTGGAACTCAGCAGTGGCATTCATCGTATTTTTTATCACACCTCCTAATGACACTCATAAAAGAAGCCTTCCAGGACTGCTTCAGAGAATGGCAAAAGTGATGGGAAAAGTATGTTCAGACTAAAGGGGCATGTTTTGGGAAGGATTCATAGTAATATGTCTTTTATTGTAAATATTTTTAATTGAAACATTCACCATACATTTTCAGTCACCTTGTGTGTGGCTGCTTTAAATTCTTAAATGAAAACTTAAAAGTATTTTTCTGATGTGAATTTTGATTTATTCCATGACTTTTGCTGTGTGTTTCATTTTTTAAGATTCTTGGATCTCCCAGTCAGCATCATTTCCCCGTAACCAGAAACAGCCAGGAGTGGATGCTCTATCACCAGTGGCCTTGCTTCCTAAACAGATTTTCCAGCCTTCTGCCCAACAGCAACTTACTAAACCAGCTAAAATCACTTGTGCAAACTGCAAAAATCCTTTACAGAAGGGACAGACAGCTTACCAACGAAAAGGATCAGCTCACCTCTTTTGTTCTACCACCTGTCTTTCTTCCTTCTCTCATAAACGTACTCGAAAGACAAGAAATATAGTATGTAAAAAGTAAGCAGTAACTTTCAATGTTTCTCTATATGTTTGAATACTAGCATGTAAGGAAATGTAATTGCAGATTCATGGGTAGAACTATTTCAGGGGTATTCTCAATTTTATTGAACTTGAGTTAACCTAGAGTGGTGTCAGAGCTGTGGACTAATTTATTTTGTACTTTCTCTTGGCAAGTGGAAGTATATTGCCACTTTCTCTGGCAATGCTTTTGCCTCTGCCCTTTTCCTTAAGTCCTGCCAAGTTACTACCAGCATTTTGTTGTTTTGTTTTTTGGTACTGGGGATTGAACTCAGGACCTTCCACTTGTGAGGCAGGCAGTGGCATCACTGAGCTAAATCCCCATCCCACTACCAAAATTTTTTAATGTTTCCGAAAAGCTAAATAACTGTGCTAAGGTTCTTGTGCCACAAAAGATTTTTTTTAACCTTAGAATCTTCTTTTTTGTATAATATAGGAATGCAAAGGTTGAAACTAAAGATTTTGCTACATCCAAAAGTTAGTTGATTCCTAGGAATAAATCATAGTTAATATTCTTGGACTGAGGGTATTGCTTAGTGATAGAATTCTTGCCTGTCATGTGCCAGGCTTTGGGTTTAATCCCCAGCACAAAAGAAGAACAATGTTCTAAAGTTATGTATCTATCCTTTGTGTTCCAGAGATACACCTAATAAGAAGGCTACTGTTGTTCCTCCAGTGGAATCAAGCAGATCCTTCCAAGAATTTGCTAGTTCATCTTTGTCTCTCTGTGAAGACAATCATCATCTTAGAAAAGTTTTTAATACATCACGATGTATAATCTGTAGTAAACTGACAGAGGTCTGGATTTTTAAATCTAAATTGTTATTTAAGCTAACATAATTTTACTTTTTCAGATAGCTTTATTGCTATTAACATAATTTTAATTTTTAAGTATTATTAATGTAAGCTCTGTCATCTACATAATGTAAGTATATATTTCAAATGTGCACCATGAAGCTAAAAGGAAGAATGAGAGTGTGTTAGAACTATTTTATTAACAAATGTCCCATTTGAATAGTCTGGAAAGTACACATTTGGGTGGTTTTTTTGTTTTGTTTTGTTTTGTTTTGTTTTTTTAAATTGGCTTGGCTGCGTAGGTCTGCCTGCCCTTGGATTCACAATGATCCTCTTGCCTGAGCCTCCTAAGTGTAGGGATTACAGGTGTGTGCCACTTCACAAAGCCCATTGTTTCTGTACAGTTGGTAGTAATCAAACACTTTTAGTAATCAAAGTTTTAAAGTGGAATTTGTTCATATCACCCACACTAAATAAAAATGTAGTTTCAGAGATAGCCATGAGCCCACACCTATACTCCCAGTACTCTAGGAGTTGGAGTCCAACCTAGGCAATTTAGTGAGACCTTGTCTCAAAAAAAAAAAAAAAATGATCTTGGGAATTGTAGCTTCATGAGAAGGCCTGCATTCAATCCCCAGTACTGTAAAGATTTAGGGAAAAAAAGTAGTAGTTTAGGACATGAAGGAAACAACACATCATCCTAATTAAAGAATAAGTGTAACAAGTAGAATGAATTTATGCTATTCTGTTCACTATTTAATTGGTGTCACAATCTTCCACATTTTTACTAGAAATGTGCATTCAGGCAGGCCTCATTTTATGTTGTCCTTGGTAATTAAGTTTGGTTTTGGTAACCTCAGAGCTGTGCATATCAAGGCCACAATTTTTCTCAGTTACCACCTTGAGAACCACCTTACTGGCTGAAATGCTGACACCATCCTTATGGAGAAAACTGATTTTTCCCACAAATTTTCTTTATAGTGCTAAGAATTCCCCAACTGTTTCTTGTAATAATGTCAAAAACATTTGGTTTTCTGTCGTTCTCAACAAATCAAGGAAATTATTATTGATTTTGGTTTTGTTTTGTAAATCTTAATTTCACAAAGAAATTGAAAAGTGAGGGCCGGGGATGTAGCTCATTGGCACCATATCTGCCTCTCAAGTGCATGGTCCTGAGCTCCAGCCTGGGTACCAAAAAAAAAAAAAGTGAAAGAATAATGAATATGCTTCTGATCTTTTTCCTGAATATTTTTTTCACTGAGATATTACTACTGGTTCTTTGTTTCTGGTGCAGAAACTTAATTTTTTCACTGCCTATTTTATTAATCTGGTTCATGTACATTAATAAATTTTGGTTTCTCTTTTAGGTTCGCCATGAAGTCAGTGTTAATAATGTAATTCACAAGCTGTGCAGTAACCACTGCTTTAATAAGTACAGGTTGGCCAATGGTCTAAAAATGAACTGCTGTGAGCACTGTGGAGAGTACATGCCTGATAAAAATATGGGAAACAGTATCCTGGTTGGAGGTCAGCAGAAGAGATTTTGCTGCCACAATTGTATTAATGAATATAAACAGGTAATTCTTTTTAATGAACTTTGATTGATGAAGTTACATAATAGTTTGTCCTGTTGGCTTATATTATCCAGGCTTATTGTAGAACTCACGTAGTTCCATTTTGTCATTAACGTTTACCAACCTTGGATAAATATTGAAATTTATCCATTGTTGTAAGTAAGCTTTTTTAAAAAACATTTACTCATTTTTATTATTTAAGGTATCCGGGTTGAACTCAGGACCTTGCACTTGTCAGACAGGTGTGGCACCACTGAGCTACATCTCCAGCCTTCCATTTACTCTTTTTTTTTTTTTTTTTTTTTTTTGTTT